TTTCGCCGAACATAACTGCTTTGAAATTAGAGTAAAAACGGAAACGATTGAATGTAAATCAGTTTATATACATTCATATTGCATTATTATATACGTTACGACCCATTTGTGTTAATTTCTAGGTCCCAAATATTAGTAGTAGTATCTTGTGGGCGGTGCTTTTGGTCGCATATTTGACTTTTGATCTTAAAATATCAGCCCCACGCCAATAATTTTTAAATCTCTCGAGCTCGATTTCTGATTCACTTGTAACAGTGTTAATCTGTGCTTTAAATTTATAGTTCATACTGTCGCACCCCACCGTACCAGTTATTCAGATTAGTAAATAAGATTTTATAATCTCCGTGTCAATATTTCATTTAAGAGTAGCCTATATTATTTACGTAACCGGTCGATATCACATTCTGATAAACCTACCTTGAAATTAATTGACTAATCCTGATATGTCCAATCAAGTGTACAAGATTTCCTTCTCGAATGTGGCAAACCCATATGATCGTCTCCATGTTGACAACGGTGTTTATTGTTCTCGCTTCTAGTTTGTACATAAACTCTTCAAAATTCAGAAATCATAGCCACAGTGTTTAAGATCTAAAAAAATACCCATGGGTCCCATACAGTGTTTTAAACATTTTCTGCAAAAATTTCACACAGGTGTAAAAATCTTTTGGGCACTATTTGGTCGTCTGTTGTTAATTGCCCATGTAGTATTTGCAGTATGGAGGACAGTTGATTTAAAACAAGTGATCTATTGGTATTTACTAAAAAGTGTTTTCTTGCAAATTGTGGAAAGTATTTATTCTGTGGTTCGTAATAAAGGAGAAGAAAATAAATGGTAGGTAGATCATTTCTAGATGAATTTAATTTCTAGTTTTGAAATCCCTTGTTTTAAAGACCACCCAATCCTGTCGCGTGGTTTGTAATAAATCTATTGTATTATTAATCTGGTATTAATTATCTGCTGGGGTGTGGTATGATGTCAGATTTGAATTTATTGAAAATAGCTTGTTTTTTTAGTAAATATCCCATTGAGTCGATATGGAAGGTAGTCTATATGAATGAAATAATTAGAAATGAAAAAGGTGGGGGGGGGGTAAAGGGGAACTTGATTTCTTTCAATCTGTTAATCAAATCTCATAATGACATAACTAAATTTAAATGCAGACCTGTTAGTGGCCAAATATACATAAGTATTACTGTGACCATTGTTATGTCATTAACATAGAAGTTTCTCGTTCAGTATCATGTCCCAAGTATTACTGTGACCATTGTTATGTCATTAACATAGGAGCTTCTCGTTGAGTATCATGTTCCAAGACAAGCGTTCACATTATTATACAAGCGCTATTTCGTTCTTTGAAAATATAGATTCATCGCATTCATATTTAAAATTTTGATTGAGATGTAATATGTAAGATTAATTTCTTTAGGTTTCGAATACCCCGTAAACAGATTGTGTTAGGAACAAAAACAAATTCTGAATTCGAGAAAGTTATATAAAATTTAAAATAGTATTTCGATTTTGAAATACGTTACCACGTTTAATGACACTTGTATGCGTACAAACTGTGTTATTTGATGATACACTGTTAAAATTATATGTATATTTACAGTTATAATTATAGTAAAAATACAGTACATGATTTGTAATATCACATGGTTTGTTAACTTACATTTAAAACGATGTAGACGCATAAGAATACGAGGCTTATATAAAATTACATCAAATTTAATGTAATAATACAACCATATGTCAGTTTACATCACGTGAGCTGTATATTAACAGAAATGCCGCTGGAAATATTATTTTTACAGAAAATTGTAAATTTACCTTCAAATAGTGGTCACATAGGTTATCCTCCCTTTGATCACATATCGAATATTATACAAAATATTTACTGTTCTGTCAGTCAGTTTAGTCCATTTTAGAGAAATAGGTTATTCAAAATCTGAATGCACCGAACTTGCTAATAAAGACAGGCATCTGCCATACATTGAGTTGGGTGCGGCATTTTGCTTGAACTGTGTCATGCCACCTACTCTTTCCATTATAAGGAGCAGAACAGTAGCACATTAAACCCCATTTCACTTATTTTCTTTACATTATCGAATGCTGTTTTACATGCTCGGCTGGAAGTTCCGCAAAACTTTCTGTGTTCGCCAGGATCTAACCTAGGACTAATTAGCCAAGCGGAGACAAACACATTCCTTTGAATAATGTTACCTTGGCAAATTACATAATATGTAATTCTACACCATTTATGAGATATTATTACATAAACTCTATCAAAATACCCATTATTTTTTGTTTAAAATGTTATTGTACAAATTTATGTAAATTAACATCATGGTAATTGTACATATACTCCATTTACAGCTATGTAATTTTACCTTGGATGTATAATAGCTAGAGGTAAATTTACATTACAGACTGTGAAATAACATGCAATGTTAAAAAACAGTTATAACGATGGCAATATTTCTGCCAGTTAAAACGAGGTAAAAATACATAAAAATTTTAACAGTGTATATTTGAACTAAAACATATTCAAACTAATTTATCTATCACAGTTTTTCCAAATCCCTATCATAACATTTTAAACGGAATAGAAAGTACCCCAATCTATTGTAAGAATCCATGTTTGTCACGCGACTTGACTGAGGGACAATGCATTGGAGCTTGCATTCGTCGTTACTCGCTGTCCATTTGCCATGAATATCGAATTTCAAAGTAAATTCTTGAATTATCCTCTCTTCCCATTTCTTTTCTCGCGGGGGGGGGGGGGGGCACTGTCGCTCAGTAAGCAGAACGTTAACCGAGGATTTTCTGACTTGGTTCCCCCTTGTCAGTGTGTAGGACGAAGAGTGTGGTAAGGGACAACGTATTGTCGTTCTTATGGGACGAAAAACCGAGGTCCCGTGTACACTGGCATGCGCATAAAAGAACCCTTGACAGTTGGAATTCGAAAACTTCCCTCATAGCACACTGCATGATGTATGTGTGACCGTGAAGTCCGTCAGATATTATAAGTCTGGAATGGTTCTTCAAATCTTTAATACTGTAAACTTAAAATAATAATTATCTACATACACTTACAGGACCGCGGATAACCGACTATATAGTACCTAATGCTACTAAGTCGGATAGACCTAATTGACTAATGTATCAGGGTAGGTAAGTTTCTGGGGTTTTACGTCCACTTCCACCTAAGGTGATATCGTAGACAAGTTAATGTATCAAGTATAATCACATATTTATATGGAATTACTTCTAATCTCTTGGCTACATCAAGTGTTGACATAAACAAGCATTGGTGTAATAATGTACAATATAAGAAATAAAACAATGGTAAATAAAACAATTAATAGATTAATCATACGATTGGCATGTTCACGAGACAGGCCATATTGTCAGTTACTTTCTACCTATAACAGTTTTATAAACAACAAGGGATTATAATAAATTAACATGTCATTAGAATTACGTAACGTTTCACCCTTGGCTATAGTCACCCTTCAAGTTCAATAGCACACACACACAATGTTTGGAAGAAATAGAATAATTATTGTCCTTAAGAGTTTACGTGTATACAGAATTCAGTTTGATGAATTTTCTTTTTTAAAAATTAAAGCATTATCTGAAATATTCTAGATTTAAATAGAACTGCTATAACCAGCACGGTTACATATGCCCGTCTTCAATAGCCTAGTCGGAGCAGAGCAGTAGAGCGTTAAACCCCATTTCATTTCTTTTTCCGCCATCTAAACGCAAGAACCTTTTGTACTGTTACTCTTACTGTTCTGATAACCGCTAGTATTCAATAAACAGATACAAAGCACTACATGTGCTGTAGAGCAGAGAACAAAATGACAGATTGCCAGTTACTGAGACCCATGCATTTTAGTCTTGATGAATTTTCTTTTTTAAAAATTAAAGCATTATCTGAAATATTCTAGATTTAAATAGAACTGCTATAACCAGCACGGTTACATATGCCCGTCTTCAATAGCCTAGTCGGAGCAGAGCAGTAGAGCGTTAAACCCCATTTCATTTCTTTTTCCGCCATCTAAACGCAAGAACCTTTTGTACTGTTACTCTTACTGTTCTGATAACCGCTAGTATTCAATAAACAGATACAAAGCACTACATGTGCTGTAGAGCAGAGAACAAAATGACAGATTGCCAGTTACTGAGACCCATGCATTTTAGTCTTTGCGCCCGCATTGTCAATTGTTCATGGAATCCAAGATTTTGCATACTTTGATTAGAAATAACTCCCCGATAAAAACTTTTATGGGAACGTATCTTTAACTCTATGGACTAAAATAATTATTCGTGACTATAATTCATGCTGTATTTCCTCAAAATATTATATCAACGTATACTTAAGTGTTCCAAATTTTTGAAACAACGATCATTACGACCCTTTGATAGCAGGCACAGTATTGTAAAATCAACATTTCCATGCATATTGTTAACTGTTTTCAAATTAATTTCAATTTTATATAAAAAGAACAAAAAGGAAAAAAAGTAAATAATTAAATAAATAAATAAATAAAACGATAGCAATACAAAAAATAATTATTGCTGGCCATTTTATTCATGGTAACGACCCAATAGCAAGCATTTAATTGCCGATATACGTGCAAGAAGAACATCAATTACAGGAAGTGTCAAGTACTAAACAAGTACTATACGTAATTTAATGATCTCGGCTATTGTGTAAGGTAGAATATTTATTTCAATGTCTATTAATCTCGTTAAGGATTATTACGTTTTGAAACCGGGTAGTTGTTGTAAATTGCTTGTCAATATATTATTAACGGAGGTTGTTTGACTCTATTGCTGTATGGCAAGTTTGGTTTTTATGCTTGTTTTGTTGTTTGACTTTATTAGGAAATTTTAACAGCTGTTGTCGACAATAATCGATCATTTTACGTGGTGGTTTTATTGAATAAGGAGAAAAATATAATCCAATATCATTTTTTAAACAGGAAAAACATATTCCAATTTTCAACTCAGTTCCCATGTACATTTCCAGCACGTTCAATTTGGTGGAAAATCAATAAGATTCAATGTGTTATGCTTTGTAACATTAGCCTATAGAATTTATGTATAAATATACATGGAGGTTGGAAACACTTCGGAAAAGAAGTGGGCTTATTGTTGCAGCTGGATGACTAAACTGGTATAATTTGTTTCGAAGAAGGAATAAAAGAAAGGGTATTGCTGTATAGATTGTTTATATAATATATACTTGGGCAGTTTGGATGGTGTAACAAAAATGTGTCCTCAAGAATATCTGAGAAGTTTCATTAATATAATTAAGTATGGCTGGACAATGTTTTGGGCAATACTTGTTCGTGTTATTCTGATATGTCATACAATGATTACAATATGGAGGACAGTAGATACAAAAGGAGAAGGAGTGTATTGGTATTTATTAAATTTTGTCCTCTTACAACTGAGTGAAGGAATATACACCGTGGTTCGAAAGAAAGGAGCTGAAAATAATTGGTAGGTGTAACTTAACCCGAATTCGCACGGTTATTATGATATTTCATTCACACGGTTATTATATTTCGTATTTATTTTTTGTATACTCTTTGATGTTAATAATAACTGGTAGATGCTATAATATATGATATTTCGGAATCATTCGCATGGTTATGATGATATTTCGTAATTATTCGCACGGTTATTTCGATATTTCATAATTATTCCCAAGGTTATTATGATGATATTTCGTAATTATTCGCACTGTTATTTTGATATTTTGTAATTATTCGCACGATTATAATTATATTTCGTAATTATTCGCAAGGTTATTATGATATTTCGAAATTAGTTGCACGGTTAATATGATATTTCGTAATTATTCGCGCGGTTATTATGATATTTCGAAATTATTTGCATGGTTATTATTATATTTTTTAATTATCTTTTATATACTCTTTGAGGTTATTAATATGTGTGATAATTACAATATTAATTTCTCAGTAAATACTGAACAGATTGAGGCCATTTTACCATCTAAATATATTATAAAATTCAGTTAACTAATGTACTAGATTAAATTCAATTATTTGAGAGGGTGAAAAAAAAAAAAAAAAAGCAGCGAACTAAGCACATTTTATTTATTTTATGTTCAAGAGCATGTAAATTTTTTGCTTTTATTTTAAAAAAATATTATTTGTTTTGTTAAACATATATTATGCAAGAGCTAAATCTGCCTATTGCAGGTCTTTCTTTTGGCCTGAAATGTTATCTAAATAAGCACATTTTATTTATTTTATCTTCAAGACCATGCAATTTTTTTTGCTTTTATTTTAAAAAAATATTATACATTTGGCCTGAAATGTTATCTAAATTATTAAGTAGAAATTAATTAACTTATCCAGACCATAATCAACTCTCGGTGTCATCGCTAGCCTGCGATGTTTATTGGATTAGGTTCCGATTTCCTGTTCGACTTCCATTCATAATTTAATCATGAAGTGGATAATCGAGACTATGTTTTTTATCGTACCGCCTTTAGTAATGATGATCGAGGCTAGGTCGAAAATTCAATCGCTAAAATCTCGGTTCAGAGTGTATCAATTTGACTGAAATTTTCAGCAAATTGTATTTAGATTATCTAGTTTTTAACTATTATAGTGAGAACTGTCTGCTCTTTATCTAATCTCCCATAATGTATCTTTAATCATTACTTGTTACAAAAAGTTGATGTTATTGACGGACTTGGCTGAATGAGATTAAAATGAATATAACAAGATTTACTTCCCTTTGATAAGAAATATACGATATAAGTCAACCAGAATATAAAATTCATTCAAAACATTTATGTACATATGTGTGTTGAACTGTATAATGCAGCATAAATAATAAAGTGTGGCCCGGAAACTTTTCATCTAGACGTGGTTGTGTTTTAGACGATTCTAATAAAGTAAAGTACTATCATTCCTAGAAACGTAAATCTAAAAGATGTTTAGCATCAGGACGATCAGCTCTTCATAATGACCTCCATTTTCAATCATATGTCATATGCATACATATATTAGAGTTTCTTTAATATCTACTGAGCTGTTCAGATTTTGTATACATTTTTTTTTACTTTCGTTGATATAATTAATATTGGTCATTATATGGTGACCATTTCAAATCAAACCAAGAATATTTCTTATGTGCATCATATCCTGGCTATGTTTATTACTTGTGTGTCTTGAACACTGAGGTAACATACCACAGTCCGGGTGTCTGTTATTCAATTAGATAATGTAGTTTTTAGAATCTATTTACAACGCCGATCTTCATTAGCTCAGGGCGTTAAACCATATTTCATTTCATTTCTTTTCTATTTAGAATCTTAATATTTTCGTCTTCCGTTGCTCCGCAGTTATTTTGGATAGGAGTACACCATTTGACAGCTATACTTATTAACAGGGCCAACAAGCCATAGGCATAGAGTTGAAGACGAAAAAAAGAATAAATATATTGGTCTATATTAATCAAATCGCTCTATTGAATTTTACATTAGTTTCATTCATTATATATACTCCTGGGATATCTTTAATATATTTAATTTGTCTCCGCTAACATCGCGGCCATAACATCATCTATCCTGCACTTTCTGTGTTTTTTTTCTAAATTCCTGTCCAAATAACACGTTCCCTGCCCTATTATATGTCTAGAAATGATTATGCGAACATTTTGATTTTTATATTATCCCAGACATCGTTGCCAGGAATAGAACAAGAATCTCAGAATTTTCATCGGTATCATAAGTGGTAAAGTCCCACCACTTGTGGCTTGTCGAGGCCAGACCTCAGTACAGTGTCTAAATGATCTTGTGCCCTTATATTTAATGTGAACTTTTGGTTAGCTATAACCCGAAACGCACTACAAAATTCATGCTGTTCCTAACAGAACAGTAATTGAAGTTTCAGCGCTGCTGCACCTTCTCTTTGAAATGAGTTGCCAGTAAACATTAGGAAATCTTTTTCTTAATATTATCGTTATTGCCCTTTTAGACCCGACTCTAAATAAACAAAAAATCAGATTTCATTCAAGTTTATCAGGTTTCATTAATTATCTCTATCGATCCCTTCCAATTTTTCTGTGTTTGTATTTAGGTTAAATTTATTTTACAAGTTACTTTGTATGTTTAGATTATCATTGTTTTATTTATGTACTCTTTGTTCTATGTTTTGGTAGTTATTTACCGAATCATTAATTTAGTTTATTTTTATTGAATACAATTGACGGCAACAAAATCATTCAAAAAAACATTTTTGTATGGAAGGTATTGATTAATTCTTCAATAGATGAAAGTACAGTTAGAATTGAATTAAGTTTAAGGCTGTTTATTTATGTCAAACAGAATTTTTTTTTCTTAGGGTATGTTACCTTTTCTGGACCCCCTGATACCATTTGGCAATACACTTCACAGTTAGAGTAGTGTTGTCCTGTGACAAATTTATCTTGAGATTCGTATACTTGGTGCGCTTGCTAGGTGTTTTTTCCCCATTTTAAACGGTTACGTTATAAATGCTTCTATCCACCGCAACAATGTTAGCTTTGATGTCATTTTCATACTTTCTGGCCTTCATATGGTAATGTGTTAAAAATCGTTGGATGTATTTCAATGACGTCTTACGTATCTAATAATATTTCATACACAGCTTGTACATGACAAGAAGTAGGGTCACCTAACCAATCTCCTGGGCTTTCTCCTTGTCCTCCGGTTTCTTTCCACTGCTAAATACCCCTACACACAAGCGAATTATTAAAATAAAATTGTACCATGCATTAGTCACCAATTTACTTACTTCTTTGTTGAGCCGATTGTTATATTCGATCACCAAATGAAGGGAATTGGTGATCGAATATAACTTTTGGTCCATCAAAGTTAGTAAAGAAACGAATGTCGGGTGATATACTTTACATATTACAGTTAAATAGTAGGCAGACTTGGTTTTATGCTCGTATTTTATAATTATAGCTGCTTTCTGATACTCATTCATCAATTCATAATTATTATTTGCATTGTGAATAAATAAGAATAGAGGGAAATACAATGGTAATTAATTTCGATCGCAGGTGGAAAATGAAGCATTTATTATTGTGCCTATTCGGGCGTTTAAATGGATATGACGGAGTAAGGATTGGTTAGATCAACAAATTTATGCACAAAATTCTTAATATCCTATCAGAAAAATAATACACCAAAGCTATAACAATAGTATTGTTTGAAAGGTGTGTTCTATCATCATTATAACCGTGTAATGAATATAGATAGTTGCAGGAATGGCAGCTTAATATTAAATGACTAAAATACTGATAGTAATCGTTAATTAAAACAGGTTAATCAATTCTGTATTGATCTACAATCGATATTTTCAATATATGAAAATAACACCCCCGTTTAATGCACTAAAAACAATCCAATCTCTTCAACAACCGTGCACCAGAATTCTAAACATATCAATGTCTCTTTGTCAATATTTTCACAAAATCTCTGCGTTAAGTCAACACGGGGTTATTTTCCCAAAATATTATTTTATTTCAACTCAGTTGTATTAAGCATGTACACTATTAAACGTGTTTTACTTTCCCAGACAAAAAAGTGCAAGAACATTTCAGTTGCTTGCGGGGTGTGGGGGTGTACATTACATTGAATATCCTGGATCGCTGATTAAAGATACATTATGGGAGATTCGATAACGAGTTGGCAGTTCTCACTATAGTAGTTAAAAACTAGATAATGTAAAAGCAATTAGCTGAAAATTTCATTCAAATTGATCCACTATGAACCGAGAACTAAGCGGTTGGAATTTCTGCCTAGCCTCGATCATCATTACTAAAGTCAGTACGATAAACAGCATTGTCTCGATTATCCCTTTTATCGTTAAATCTTGAAGGAAAGTTATGCAGTAAATCGGCTCATAATCCACTAAAGACCGCAGGCAGAACCATCTAGGGTTGATTATGGTCTGGATAGGTTGATTAATGTCTAATTAATAATTTAGATAACATTTCCGTCCTAAAGAAAGACCTGCAATAGGCAGATTTAGCTCTTGCATAATGTATGTTTAAAGGATCAGTACTAGTTTTCAAATGTTATTTGTTAATAAACATGGGTTTATGCACATCAGTCACCTAAATGTGAAGATATAACATAATTACCTTGTCTAAAAGATTGATATCAAAATATTGAGCTGTTCATGTCGGCTTTACGTAGCTCATTTAAATCATTTCAGGCGTTTCACAAACGTATTGCAAAGCTCCGTATAGTTGTTAAATGTACATTTTTCTGCCTGTATTATTCACTAAAATATGTCTGAAACTATTCCTATTACCTTACATTATGTACATAGGCGTTCGGGCAGACGGGTAAAGTGAAAAAAAAAATCTATTTCATTTAGTGGTTAAATTAAAACACTAATTTTACTTTTCTTTTAATTGAATACCACGGATTTGTACTTAATTGACTATGGATTAAAACATTTTGTGTGAAG